TGTGTGTGTGTGTGTGTGTGTGTGTGTGTGTGTGTGTGTGTGTGTGTGTGTATGTGTGTGTGTTTGAGTGTGTATCTGAATATTTACAAATGTAAGTGTTAAAATGTTGTAAGTTATATATATATGTATGTACAATGTAATAGTTTTGGACTCGCCAATAACACAAACGGATACATCCAAAATAAAAAATCCCACAAAACAAATAATGTGCTTTTTATTTAAAGAATAGGACTGCACTATTAGAAAAGCACTCTCATAATTTCTTTTCTCAGGAAGTGAAAGTGGACGCCGTGACTGCCCGACTCACTGACACCAAAGGCTATACCGGGAGCCACAAAGAGCGATTTGACGATTCTGGAAAAGGCAAAGGTATCGCCGGACGCAAATATCTCGTTGAAGAAACCGGTTACGTCTCGGGCTACAAGAACCAAGATACCTACGAAAAGGGAGAAGGGGAGGAGGGAAAAGGCGAAGGGGCGAGTGAGGGAGCAGCAGCAATGTGATTGAAGCTGCTGTGTTAGTGTTACTTAGAGGAATGGCTCTTTTCGGGGTCATAGATCGGAAACTTTGTTAGTTTGAGGAAAGGATGGACTAGAGAGGGTAAAAAAGACGTTACTTAACCGCAGGTTTACCTACGTTAGGTGGGCAGCTACATTAGAAGACAGCTTATAATGGGGATGCCCAACTGAATTTAAGGAGTAAAAATAGTGACTTAAGACCTTTTTTGTTGTCGTCGTAGTGTAGCAATGAATGCTTTGTCACGTGGGATGGGGGGATTGGGGGGGGGGGGAAGAGTATGTTGTAGACTCTAAAATCAGGGCAAGACGAAGAGTATATTATAATGTACAAGTGATCCGTTATGGGTTTGTAGTGGTTCCCACAGATATTCAGGTCATCTGATCTGTCACCTTGCCGAGTGTTCGCAACAAATGAGATTTACTGACTTCAACTAGGAAAAGGGTGGATCATTTTGTCATAACCTTTTTTGAGTTAGAGCAATGGTTAGCACTGAAGCTTCTTCTAGCAGCTTGAAAATTTTCCTATGCAAATATGGCAAATATGTGTTAGTGTTGCTAATACTTACTGTATTAAGCTTGTCAAAATAGATCTGATCTATAGATGGAAGGGATTACGTACGTCTTTGGGTAGACAGATAAATTATTAGTATAATGTGTACTGAAAGGATTAGCGGGGACATGGGAGGGAATAGAAAGACTAGCAGACGACCATTCTAGAGGGATTACCTCAGGGTTCTGTCAAGATAACGACTGTCTTGAGTTTTTAATGTAATTTTGTATATTCTGTAACTGTGAACCAAACCTGGTGATTTAATTAATTATATTATCGTTCTCTGTGGAAATGTTTGTTTTTGAAAACATAATGTGGTTTGTTTTCCTGTGTGTTGTCTTTCAATCAAACCATTTCAAAATTATTCCAATGAAACGTGTGACTTTGTTATCGAAAAAAACCCAACAACCCTTAGACCGTAAAGGTTTGTGCTTTTCAAAAACTATAGGTACCGAACGTAAAGAAAATATTTAGAATTTAGGCTTTGTATTCGCTTTAGCAAAATATTACCTTTCTATAGTATACGTGTAGTTCCTTAGTTCCCCAAAATACTTAATCAGCAATCAAGGAAACATACACGTAGACTACATGTATACTTGTATGAACTGAGAGTCAAGAACCTTAGACTTAGAAAAGGTGTAAGGTGTATCGGTATGTTGCTGTATTCATTCCACATTCAGTTTTTTGTTCCGTACTCAAGGGACCTCTTTGTTTTTGTTACACCCGCGCCACCACACCCACAACCCTTGAACAAACCAAAGAAGATTGTCATTTCTCATCGTAAAGTATTTTTCACCAATAAACCCCTTTACTTATTTTATTTTGTTAGTATATTTCTATTTCTGTAACGTTCACTGCAGTAAAAGGGCCTGCTCCTAAAGACTGCTTGTTGTTGTTGTTTTTTGCTGGATTTGTAACTGAGCAAAATTGAGTATGGTCTCAAGATGCATGCTTCTCTTCAAGACTTGCCGAGGTTTCTTCTTTTTTTTTTGTTTGGGGGGGGGGGTTGCCCTATAAGCATGATATTGGTAAATTATTATACACACTTATACATACTGTATACATGTACAAGTGTATATATGGATAGCTTCTTCTTTCGGAATTTTTATCTCTATGCATTTTAGAATTTTAAAGGTAAAAAGTGGCTGTCTACGGTACACAAACTCACAGAGGCACAGTTGTCAAAAACGTGAGCCTTAACCTTTTAGCATTATTGAAGAAAACAAATCCGAGTGTTGTTTAGATTTTATTTTATTTGGGCAACCCCAAGAGCCACCGGACATTTCAGGTTTTCAGAAGGGACTTTTTTAAATCAATTTTTTTTTGTATGGTACCTTTTTACGTCATGCTCATGTTTTTTTATACGTCTTTGTGAATCTTATGCAAAATCTCGGGTTGACAAAGTTGAAGTTGAATTAGCATTACCATTTCCCCAAAGTGCTTGCTACAGTCAAAAGTGGTAACTGCTTTAAACAGAACTTCTTCTGTCTTGCTGATGACTATGCCGTTTCCAAAAGCAGATATATGACATACAGTGAACTTACATTTTAATTGACAGTACTTCGTCTCTGAAAGTACATCTCCCATCTAATCCAAAGACATGATGAAGCAACTCACATCTGTATGTCATGTTTCCTTCTCCGAAAAGGTTTCTCAACCCGCGGTGCTATTCATTACTTACAATTATCATTCGTTTATTTACCCAGTAGGATCTCATTTTTTACCTCGGCAGCTCATTTAAGAAACCTGCTGACTGTTGGGTTTTTTTACACTGTTGTTTCCGTTTTCGTTATAAATGCAAAGTAGTCAAAGAACTTGTTAAAAATATGCATTTAATTCAAACTTGGTGCCTCTGAGAAATTCTGGACTGTTTTTCCCCTTCTATCTTTGTATGTCATGTAGAATAGATATTTTGTACGTTTTTTTACGTTCAGTGGATCAGAACCACAGTTTTTTTGTGGTAACATCGGAGGCCTCTTGATAAAGTCTGAAATAGTATCATACTAGTCATGTGGCCTTTGCAAATTTGACTAGAAATGCCGTTGTCCTCATGACCTCTACAATATCTTGCACTTACACCTATTTCCTGCTCTTGTCAACATTAGTTAACCAGTTTTGCGCTGAAATAGTTAATGGAAGTGGGCTATGACAACAATTCATTCACAAAATAATTACATTGCATAAATTTTATATGTAAAGGCAAGGGTCTTCCCATTACGTCACGCTTCTTTACACAACCAAAAAAAAAGAAGAAGAAGAAAAACACATACAAAAAACTCAGTAAGGGTAACGTTTTTCCATAATGAAAAGTATCATTTTATAGTGACATCAATACTGGTCTGAAATGACATGTACTTGTGAAAAAGACAGAAACATTTGTAACGACTGAGAAAATACATAGCCTTTTCTCTATAGCCCATAGCTATACTATACACCGTTTATATGTCAAACTGACACGATGGAACTGTTCGTGACTGAGTGTACAATGAGTTCAATAAACTTCTTGGATGTCCTCAAAATGAAGTTAGCCTTTAAATCATTTTAATTTTGTAGAATATAAATTAGAGAATTAGAGCA